AGAGGTCAGGAGGTATCATAAGCACACGGCACACAAGGGCCAGCTATGCTGCTGGGTTGGTCAAAGGAGTCATAAAAGAAACTTTCAGAGGCAGCCGTTTGGGATATCTGAATATTGTATTAATCTATTTTTTGTTGCTGTAACAAAATGCCCAAGGCCGGGTCTTTTTGTAAAAGGAAGTTTATTTAGTGCATAGTTTTGGCACAGGCTTCTGCTTGCCTCTGGGGAGGGCCTTCTGAGGACATCACAACATGGCAGATGGCCTCAAGGGGAGAACCTGTACGAGGGAGAGGTCATGTGGCAAAGAAGGGTCATGTCGCAAAGAAGACTGAGGGCCAGGCTTTAAAGTCTGTAACGTTTTAAAGTATGAGAATGGGCCAGGGAGATAGCTCAGCTGCAAGTGCCTGCCTGGCAAGGACAAGGTCCTGAGTTCAATCCCCAGTACCATGAGATTGGGTGAGATTACCCAGGGCGTGCAGGGGGGGTGGAGAAGAGGTCAAGAATGAACCAAGGGACTTAGAGGTTGGCGGTCAGGAAAACAGGGAAACCAGGAGAGTTCAGAGTCCAGGGAGCCAGGCAAAGGTGGTGTTAAATAAATAAATAAATAAAGTTTGAGAATACCAATTTGTTTCTATTGGAAAGTGCTATTTTGGTTTCTTCTGATCCATTTTCATTATGGTGAAGAATCAGAAAACCCACATGAGTACCTCGAAGGGTTCCCTCTCTTCCCACAGTCCTTTCTATAGGAATTTGGCGATTTCTGGACTTGTACCCAGCATCTCATATATTTTTTCCACTGCATAATATTGTTTTTCCTTATTATAACTATTTCATAATTTCAAAAGTAGCACCCTTTTGATGGGAAATGTTTTTTTTTTAAATTTTATTTGTGTGTGTGTGTGTGTGTGTGTGTGTGTCCCCAGCTCAGCCCAGCAGGGGGCGGAGCTGGCTGGCATGTGGTGCTGGGGGATTGAACCACGGTCCCTGTGCTTTACTAAGCTTGTTCTAAGTAGGTGCTTTAGACCACTGACCATCTCACCAGCCCCGTGAAATGTTTTAATAGCCAAAAAATATGCAAAAAAAAGAAAGAAAGAAAAGAACGAGGCTCCCCTCTCTCCAAGTACCTTTTTTCTCAGTCTCTCGCCAAAGGGAACGTCTATTCACTGACTGCCGTATATCTTTTCAGGAACCAGTCAGCCTCTCTCCACACAAATGTATCTGTTTATATGTTGTCTTATGAAGATGCAGCCCACCACATGCCCTGTATCACACTTGGCTTTTTTGATATAACATAGCCAAAGATGGTTCCCTGTTTTTTGGAAGGCCACCAATGACCTCTCAGCTGTCAAAGCCAAGGCCACCTGTCAGTCCTGCCTTTATTCCACCTATCTGATTGTCCCTTTTCCCCAGACACCACCTTTGCCTGGCTCCCTGGACTCTGAACTCTCCTGGTTTCCCTGTTTCCTCACCTTCAACCTCTAAGTCCCTTGGTTCATCCTTGACCTCTTCTCTGCCCACGCTGCATGCCCTGGGTGATCTCACCCAGTCTCGTGGCTCTAAGAGGAAGATCTCTCACTGATACCTCCCGATTTTATCTCTCACTTGAGTCACGGTCCAGAGCTCCAGCCTCTTTTAGCAACTTGCTTATTTGATCTCTTGGCTGGTTGTCTGGCAAATGTCTACATAAAGCTGGAGCCCCAAACCTGAAAGTTCTCTGTCTTCCTTTTCTCAATTGTCATCAATGTCTCCATTTGTCCAGCTGCCAGGGCCGGGGACTGCAGGTGCGCACGATGCCCCATGTGCCAGGCGCAGCAAATCCCATGGCTCTCCTCGAGCTCTTCCCAAGTGCTGCTCACTCATTACTACCCTCCCCTCCATCACCTGGGCTGAGCCCTCAGCATCGCTGGCTGAGATCACTGTACTGCCCACTGAGTTGGAATCTCTCCGTGGGCTTCCTCATCAGGATATCAGGGTGAGTTCCGTACAACTAGACAAAGTCCTGGCTCACGTAGAGGAGGCCCACGCCCTGGTGACCTGGCTGTTCTCTCTGGCTTTCCCTCCCACCACTCCCTCCTCTGCACAGTCTGCTCCAGCCATCTGCTCTCCTTGCTTTCTCTTGCTTTCCCTTGTCCATACCAGACCCGAGCCTAGACCTTAGGGTATCTGTGTTCCTGCACCTTACACCAGGTATCTACCTGGCTCTCTTGCTCACTCTAGTCACATTTCCCCCAAATCTTACCTCTCCACAGCATCTACCCCAACCATTTGTTCAAATCCTCACCACAATCCTTCGAGGTAAGTATTGCCTTTCCATGTGCTACTAAGAGATCTAAATGACTTGAGAAGGGCTGAACCAGGATCCTTAAACTGAGCCTTTTTGAAGCCAAAGACTGCTCTTCCAGGTCCAATGTCAGATACCACTCCTGTTATCCATCCCCTATGGTATCTCCATGACACTTTATTTTTTAGTGATGGGAAGGGGCTAAGCTGCCACAAGATCACATAGCAAGGGAATTAACCCTGCTGGGAGGAGAATATCCTGAGTATCCCACTGGGGACTCACTAGTACTACTTGGGAGACCAGAGAAAAGCAGCAATGGGGACAAGGTTGTAATGAGAGGCAGAAGCAGGCCCTGGGGCAGGGTATGGAAAAAGCAGCTTTCTGTGAACCTGAGGACTCCTGGATCTCTGATAGCGTATCTGGCTCTCAAAGCATTCTTGGCTGGCACCTTATATCCCTTAGCAACACTGAGAGTGCAGCATTTTATCCCCATTCTTCAGATGATACCAAAGAACTTCAGTGAACTTCCTAGCGGGGTGAGAGCAGGAGGAGACCACACACAGTATCTCCAGGGTCCCTCACAAGTTTCCTTGGCCCGTTGCTCAGGCTACTCCTGCCCATCCAGTCTTCTTTTTCATCCTCTGAATCTCTGCACCTGTTCTTCCTCCCACCTGGAATGCCTCCTCCTGCATCTAAACTACTGCTCATCCTTCGAGATCTGAAGCCAAGGGATGGCCCCGCCCCGGTACATTTCTGAAGGCTCTCATCACTTGTTTTGAATCAGTGGCTCGCATCTCTTCTCCTGAGACCTCCCCTTTACCCATCTCTTACCCCAACACTCAGGAGCATCTCTGCCACCCAGTGAAGTCCTTCTGCTTGTTGAAGGAATAAAGGAACTAACCTGGAAGCCTTCCGGACCACCCAGCCTCCACGGCTCTGTTCCTAAAAATGCCAGAGCTCTTACCCTTGAGACTTGAGATTTCCTACTACTGTTGACTTGTCTATTGTCACTGACCACACTCCCTTCTTCTTATTAGAGGCCTTTAATCCATTTCTGGCCTCTGCCCTGGGGCTACTCTTACCATGATCTCATCCAAGAACCAGCCTTTCTAAGGTACAGAGCTGCCACTCCACCCTGCCACCCTATGCTTCGGGGCATACTCAAGACTCAGAATACAAAGCCCTATCTCTAGCCTGTGTCCCAGCCACTCTTCCTTGTTAAAGAAAATATAAAGGAACCTATTAAAGATGGCAAGGAAGACTTTATTTATGAAGTAGACTTGACTGGTGAGGAAAAGTGGGAATTTATAGCTAAGACACAGGGGTGGGGCGCTGATGGATGGGAAACTACGGGCACACTTCAGGGATCTGGGGATTTTGGGTGAGGTGACTTGACAGGATTCTTCCCGAGATCGGCCAGGGTGATCTCCTACCAAGGGCAGCGAATTTTCCTGACTCACCAGGATTCTTGAGGAAGCTGGACCCAAGGGGCTAAGGACACAGCCCAAGGTCAGAGCCCAAGCAGAGCCTGACTCAAGTTTTTGGTCGATGAAAGTCTTTCAGCCACTTCACACCCCACTTCTTTGTATTATCCCTCCTCAATCCAAACTCTTTCTCTTCTGAGATTTCCAAGGCCAGTTAAAACGTCTCCACCGAAACTCTGGGCCCTCCACCCCAGGCAGCCCACACCCAGGGGGCTCTTTTTTCCTGCTTGGACCCGGAAGGAGAGGCGTTCATTTTCCCTCCCAAAACCTGATGCTCTAGGGAGGACAGGAAGGCTCCACAGAGCCTGGACAGGGCAAGTAGGGTTTGGTGACTGCAGGTGCTGAGGCTGACGTCCACCCATACTCCCGCAGTCCGCGAAGGGAAGGGTACCTGGGACACTCCCTTCATCTTGGCCGTGTCCAGCGAGGTTGAAGGTCAACGCCCTAAGCCTGGGTCTGGGTCAACTTCCCCTGGGGACAAGAGGCGAGCTCCCTGAACGTTTCTGCCCCCGCCCCCGCAGTTGCAACCAATTGCCGAGGGGTGGGGTGAACACCGCTGTGGCACGGAGATGCTTCCGAGGACCGACGCTCCGCGGCTTGGCTACCCCCAGACAACAGACTACAAAGTGTCCACCCGCAACTCCCTCCTCTCGCTCCTCCAGCAGGAACCACTGGACAAGACAGCCGCGCCCTCCCACCGCGACGCAAACAAGCCCCCAGCAGCTACCAGGGCTGGTGCGGCGCCTTTAAGTCGAGGCGACCGCGCTGCCCCCTGGCGGCCGTGAGGCTTCCTCCGCCGCCCGGAGCTCCAGCGGCGACCCGGGAGCGCAGGCCCGGAGCGGGCACGGCGGGCCCCGACCGCGGGCGGACGGACGAGCG